TAAAGGGATGGCTACATTTCAATTATTATACAACCCCATCTGACTTAGCCTGTGTCCCCTGAATTTAAGTTCTCCTATTGCAGCCCAATTGTTTTGTCAGTCCCCCACACCTCCAATGTGCTCACGCTCCTTTTATCATGGGCACACACAGCACTGATAGGATAACTGGGGTGTATGACATGGTGAGACGCTTTTCTCTGGGCTTCTTCAGTTGACTCGTTAACTTTAGAAAAGCAAAGAAAACTATGAATTTACCATTACATTTTCTTAAAAACATTTCCCCCATGGAATAATCTATAATGTAAAGATTTTTTAAGCCTATGAACTGCATGCAAAAGGAATGAGGGATAGGATCACAGACTGGTTGTCTTAAAATACCACCTCTATGTGAGGAACCCTGAGATTAATCTACAATTATATGTTTTAAAGCAATTTCATTTCAGGAAATAGATTTATAAGTCTCTTACTTAAAGGGAAATGTCAGAGTTGGAAACTTACATGCTACAATTTGGCTGACCTGAACAAGCTCTGGCCTCTTTAGTGTAACAGGTCTACTTACAAACATATACATACAGTTGACTTTACATAATAATGAACTCTCTTCTTTTATAGCCTTATAACTCTTCAATGATTTGTGGTGGCTGTGTCTTCCAAATACAGCTTATATACTGACTATCCCAAAAGGAAATTAGGTTATAAAATAGTGTGCTGAATGTCGTCAGCTCTGTTCATTGAGGGATCACAAAGTAAAATGCACATGAGATGAAACACATGGCAATTTACAGTTGGAGAAAGACTGAGACAGTAAAAAATCAAGACTAGAATTACACATTACAGATTAGAGGTCAAAGGGCTTGCATAAATTCTAGAGCCAGCTTCATCGCTCATTTACTGATTTTTTTTGGGGGGGGAGGTCATTTAGTTTTGACTGTTTTATGTCACAACCTCAAAGGACAGCTTTATGGACAAAATAACATATTACAGGAAAAATGAAAATCTAGTGAAGAAAAAATGAAGGGTTTACAAGTGAAGACCCAACAGTGCAAAATTACTGTGTCATTAACAGGATCTCTCTGCACAGACATGACCAAAAAACTTCAGCATTTTGTTCTTAGAAAATAATAAAGATCTAATACTTCAAATTCACTTTACAACCATAAAATCTGCCCATTTTTTTCATGTAATTTTCCATAGCAATATTACGATAGGGAAATACTACTTTTCCCATTTATATACAAAGAAACAGAGACACAGATAAATTAAATAACTTGCCTTAATCTCACACCTTAATCGCAGAACCGGAAATTAAAACTAAGTCTTCTGACCCTAAGCCAGTTCAGTTTCCACCACAAAGGAGAACCCAATTTAATAATAACACACACACACACACACACACACACACACACACACACACTTTTTTGCAAATAAAAAAAGGTCCTGACAAAACTTCAAGGCAAATGAGCAGGTAAAATTTTAAAAAGAAATTACAAACTTCCATATGTAAGGTAAAATAACATGGCTTTTAACTGACACTATTGGCAAATGTATTCTGATGAGACTTCTGAGTGTTTTTATATTAAACTAGAGGCCTGGTGCATGAAATTTGTGCACTCGAGGGGAGGGCAGCTTGGCTTGTGTCCTCTCACAGTGCGGGAGCCCCGCGATCGATCGCTCCAAAGCGGTAGACTCCGCCCACCCATCTGGGGCTCCTCAATGGATTGCCCCCAAGAGGTAGGCTGGAACCAGGGGGTCCTGCCTCCGTGCCACACATGCAGCATCAAGTCCCCGCCCACTCTTTTGCGCCCGCTGTGCATGCAGGCTCCTGGTGTTGGATTGTGGGATTGTAATGGCGTGAGGGCATCTTGGTGTAAAGGCATGATGACCACCTAGGCTATTATTAGTATAGATGCTTAAGAAGAAAAAACTAAGTACACATATATATCTCATTAAACAGAACAAATAACATGATTTACACTTAAAAAAATGATCTGTAGTCTCCTTACACAGTCACCACTATGCTATTACCAAGCTTTACAGTGCTGTGCTTGGGCATAAGGCCTAAAGCCAATAAACTCAGAGCTCCGACTGTGATGTGCTCCCTCCTGTCCCCTCTCCAGTGGTCATTTCTGGTTCTGCCAAATGATACATAGGTAGAATTTTAATGAACTTGAGAATTATGGAAAATAGAAACAACAAATTATGAGATTTGGAGTTGTGACTTTAGGTTGAGTCTAGGTTAGGAGTCATAAGACTAAAACGGCTTTAGGTTTGGCCTTATGATTCTGAATAGATTAGTTGATTGTGTCTTATCCCAAATGTGTTCATATGTAAATGGGGAATAAACATAATATTCATAGACCATACTTTTGTGAAATTAGTGCCTCAAACTATATAAAGTATTAAAAAATGATTTGTTATTATTAAATCACAAAGGTGGCCATATTTTTCACATATTTATTCTCTCTGTCTCTCACAAACACAGAGACACACAAAGTAAAACAAAGTTTATATTTAAAATATACAGCCTTGTTTTATGCATGTAAGCCTTAAAATGCTAATTGCCAAATAAATAGTAAATAAGCTATATTAGTAAAAGTCTTAAGAGGCAGTCATCAAATTTCATTATCCATTACTAATCAGCTTTCCAATGCAGGAAAATGATGGACAATTAGGTTTTTCTATATTCATGTATACCTCAGTTACAAAAAACCCCTCTTTCCTCAGCTACTTCCATACAAACTACACAAAACAGCAAAAACTAAGCCAAAAGCTTCTAGAAAACCTTCTGCTTCAGAAGCAGACAAGGGCAGAGTCTATAAATAATGGAAAGTGGGTTCTGATGTGAAGGCCCACCGTAGGTAGTACAACACCGAGCTTCCCACCGAATATCTCCAAATGCCCTTCTTATGTCACTTCATTTTTATATATCACATTATTCTAACTAGTGAGCCTAGGAGGGGGGTTCTTGAACTGGAAGGTGTGGGAGGAATTAGAAAGGTACCAGAAGTAAATTTCACCTATTGATCTTCTACTGAGCTAATCATATAGTTAAGAAAAGGGAGAGAGGCCGGGGGGAGGGGGAGGTGGGCTTCAAAAATAAACTGATTTCAGTATTGTAGAAATTAACTTTTCCTATTTTCTTGAAATCAGCCTCTGGTAACAGCACCCACCTTTTCTCTTCCCACACTCAGTCTAGGAAGTTCAAGTTGGCTGACTCCAGCCAAAACTAGCTTATTGGATCACTGCATTCCCCAGCCACAGTGACTGCTTTGGAGTGGAGCATGTGAGTCAAGTTAAATTCAATAGTGGGGTTTTATAAGAACTGCTGGGAACAGAAAACCTCTTTTTGATGGTGATCTGGCAGACTCATCACAATGACAGAACTTGCGTGAGAACACAGCAAGAACAAAGTCCAGCAACAGAGAGAATGGGATTGAGTTTAATGACCTGGCTTAAGACCATGGCTTGCCTGAAGCCACGCCTATCTATACTAGGAAAAGTTGTATGGGACAATGAATTTACACTGATGCTCAAGCCAGTTTGTGTTGAATTTTCTGTCACTTGTTACCCAGAGATCATATATGGAGAAAGAAATATGGAACTCATATTACCGATTCAGTGCTGGTTTTAGGGACTATTAAATACTTAATAATGTAAATAATGTAAAATCATGTAATATCAATTCAATAATGCAAAAGAAATCCAAGAAGCAAAGAAATAATTAATCAGTCAGCTTTTTCATCCCAGAATTAAGGATATTACCTTGTGGTCTCCAGCAAAACAAAGGAGAAACATTTGAGTCATTTATGCTTACATCTCCAAAGCATCCATTTATATCTCAGAAAACTGCCCTGAGAAATAAACCTGCGGGAATCTTCATGTTGAACTCGTTAGTGAAAATAAGTGTCAATTATACAATATTACTTTTACTAATAGCAAAAATTCTACATTTCGACCAGCCATAGCAGTTAACATTAATAAAACCATCTGGCCTAAGTCTGATGTTAATTAATTGCTTATAAGTGAGGGTGATGAAGGCAAAAATAAACTAAAAGACTGTTTCTCCTTAGGAAGTATAATTACTTGGACAGAAAAAAAAACTCATTTTAAAAGAGGATCTCAAATTTTTAATTTAATTAGTCATTTGGAAACCTTCAGTAGGAATAAAAGTAGGACTGAAATGGGGTCCTGGCATCTGAAGTAGCTGTGAAATGAAATCATTCTGCATTGAACACAACCTAAATTACAGAAGTGATCCTCATATTCATGTTTTAATCTGCTATAAATATATATATATACACATACACACACACACACATACACATACATACATACAGTTGACCCTTGAACAACATGGTTTGAACTGCACCAGTCCACTTACTTGTGGACTTTTTTTCCAATAAATATTATAAATGTATTTTCTCTTCCTTATGAACCTTAACATTTTCTTTTTTCTAGCTTACTACACTGTAAAATACATTATATAACATAAAAAAAGATGTGTTAATTGACACATTTTTATGTTATTAGTAAGGTCAACAGTAGGTTATTAGTAAAGTTTTGGGGAGTCAAAAGTTACACTGATTTTCAACTACACAGGGTGTCGGTGCCTTAACCCCCACATTGTTCAAGAGTCAACTGTACAGAAATGTGGAAAAGGCAGAAATGATGTATTTTGTGTGTTCTTACTACAAATGCTCTTTCAGATTATACAAATGAAAATTATGACAGAATTATTTTTCTATGTCTCACTGAAAAACAGACTGAGACAACCAACCAACCACAAAAAATTCACAATTTCAAATCATTCCCATTAAATATTGCTTGGTGGAAAATCTTCAGGTGGATTTTAGAGAAGGCATTATTACTGTATGGTATATTACTGACAGATCACATCAAAATACTTTTTGCATTATTTCCCAATAATGCTATAGAGTTAACTGTGCAGGTCTACACACTGGAGAAAAATGTGTAAAAGGAACACCCACATGAACATTTACCTTCCACTGCTCTTTTGAAGAACACTTTGCAGCTGCCACAGGTTACTACCCCATAGTGGCAGCCTGAAGCCTCATCTCCACACACCAAACAGATCTTGGAAGGTCTTGAGGATCCAGTAGAAACACTTCGTAACGTAGAGCTGGGGAAAGAAAGAAAGATTTAAGTAACTACACTGTAATGGCACATTTGATATGCTGTACAGCTTAGCTCAAACGTTATCATAAATCATGGTTCCATAAATGAATTCAGTATGTAATGGTCACATACGAGGACTTATATAATGAAGGTAAACTCTATCAGTGGAGTCATGCTATCAACCATTCTGTAGAGCAAAGCCTCTTCTCAGTATAGAAAAATAATAAATAACCACCATTTGCTTTCTTCCTTACCCTGTTTTCGAGAAAGTTTACCAAAAATTTGTATTCAAGGTGGGCAGGGAGAGGAAGACTCCTGAGCTGAGTCATCATGAAAGTATTTTTTGGCATCAAAGAACAATTACAATACTTCTCAACTCTCTTCACCCAGACTCACATTATATACCTTAATTATGCCAGGTTAAAAAAAATAAACACACACAGAAAAACCAACTCCTCTTTCCAAAACAAGCCACTAATTAAAAAAATAATCTTGCTTCTACCACCAGCAACTTGACCCCCACCCCTTGAAGCTTCTGCATTTTTTTCCGTATTACCTTACTTAGGTATATTCCAATTACCTCATTTTGCTTACTAGTTCAAAGGGGCACAGTCAATATATTTTTAAAGCCATACATGGTAAATATCTCAGGTATCTTTCAAGTAAGAAACTGACAGGTTCTGGGCAATAATTTTTAGGGGCAAATTTAACCCTTTAAGCAGCAATCTGTATGAATATATTTTAAAAATAAATCTTTTCAATATATATATAATATATTATTGTGTTAGTTCATAGCACGGTCTGAACAAAACATTTTCAATTCTAATAAGGAATCAGTTCGGTGACCGTTTAGATGTGTATTGAGTAGGCAGAGAAACTAATTTTTTTTTTCATGCGCAGTCTGCAAACATTTTTTAAAATATATTTTATTGATTTTTTTACAGAGAGGAAGGGAGAGGGATTGAGAGTTAGAAACATCAATGAGAGAGAAACATCGATCAGCTGCCTCCTGCACACCTCCTACTGGGGATGTGCCCGCAACCCAGGTACATGCCCTTGACCGGAATCGAACCTGGGACCCTTCAGTCTGCAGGCCGATGCTCTATCCACTGAGCCAAACTGGTTAGGGCTGCAAACATTTTTTTTTTTTTTTGAAAATCTAGCTACCCAAAGGTGCTTTGCAAAGTACTGAAAAAATCAGTATATTTTTAAAAGCCAGGCTGTCCTCCAAGATAGTGGGGTTGTGGACCAGCAGAGTCAGTGCCATGGTGTGGGGAAGTATGATGGCACGTGTGGACTCAGCCTTCACGCCGGAAAGGGTGGGGACAGACTAGTCAGAGAGCATTTCCGGAAAGGTGACAGCAGCCCTGAGCCTCAAAGCAGCACCAGATGACAGCCAGGCCAGGAAAGAGGGCAGAGGAAGCAGGAAGTGCGATGGCGCAGAGAAATTCTAGCTGGACATGCCCAGAAAACTTTGGGTGGATTGTTATGTCACCGCCTCCACCTTCCTGTAGGGCATTTGTGTCCGTGTGAACCAGCAGGCATGTGGTTAAAACAAAAAAGAAACAAAAAACAAAGAAAATATACCAAAAGGATTGAACAGTTGTGATACAGTTATTCCTGTTTTTCAAATTAGTGGAAAATGTGATAATATTGCCATGATAATTAAAAAAACACACACACAATTTTAATGTCTAAACTCTAATCTCACTAGAAATAGATGAAGGAACAAACTCCTGGGCTGCTCAGAGCACTGTGGCATGCCCGGCTTTCTAGAAAATGACTTCTTAAATCAAAGGCTGAAACAATGTTCTCCAAAGTTGTTTCTCCTTCTGAGAAAAGAGCTCTTTATTATTTTTATTACTGTCCTTTGACTTCTTTATGGCATTCAAAACATTCCATTTCAGCACCAGTGACTTCTTTAGCATGTCAGCCAGTGAAACTCAACCCATACTCTGACTGACTCTCTTACATTTCACAGGAAAATACGACTTCGTAAACATTCAAAATATAAGTTAAAATCAACAATAAAGTGTATTTTTTCCCCCACAA